TTTATGTACTTTAAACCGGACAGAAACAATTATAGGAGTAGAAAACAACAAGGCTTTAGTCTCCAACAAAGTATAAAGAAAACATTTTAATAATCAACACAGAAACGTTAGTAATTAAAATTCCTTAAGCTTGTGAGCGTTACTGTGTTAAAACAAAAATCAGAAAACTGTTAGAAGAATAAAAAAAATGTATAAAATAGTAAATAATCAGAAATATTCCGAGTCCACAATTTTCTTGTGCGTCCTTAAGGAATTTTAACCCCCTCACACGTTGCCAAGGTAATGGATTAAATCCTCCCAGGATAAAACAGAATAAACCTTCCTGCAACAGTGGCAATACAAACTGCAGGATACCAACGAACTCAAAGAACGGAGCAAAATCACACTTACGAATTTGAGAGAGAGAGATTGCGAATTAGGATGCAGTATATTCAGAAAGAAAGAAGTTCTATAGTGTTTTTCGTATCTTGAAGATGCAGTCTTGCCTCAAAATTTATAGGCAAATATCAGAAGAGGTGTCTGGAAAGGTGCCTTTTCAGAAAATACGCGACCTGCCGCGGTTCTACCGCGATCGCGGCCGAAAGTGTTCTGGCGTATTTTCAGCAGTGATTTGGCATTTAATTAATTATTGAATGATTAAATAAATTTTGTCCAAAAATAATCTTATCGATCATTTGACAAATCCAAATCCAAATCCGAAGCCGAGCCGAGCGAGCGACGACGACGGCGCGAGGGTTCATTCTCGTCAACTCCTTTTAAGAGCTTTAAGAAGTGAATCTATATATAAGCACACCGAAGCCGAGCCGAGCGAGCGACGACGACGGCGCGAGGGTTCATTCTCTTCAACTCCTTTTAAGAGCTTTAAGAAGTGAATCTATATATAAACACACAAATGTGATCGTCCCTCACCAATGAGGGACAAAGTGCAAGACAAAAGTTCACTTCTTCAAATTTTCATTTTCCCTCCATTTTATTTCCCTTATTTCCAATTCACACTTCTTCTACTTTAAAGCCCAATGGCTTAAAGTCCAACAGTTTCATCCTCCTCTATCTCCAACAATTTTTTCTCTATTTTTATTTAAAAAGATTAAAGTAGAAAAAAAATTGATTTCCTAATTCCAAATTTCAGTTGAGAATAATTATCATGACCAGTAGGCCACAAAATCGAAGGTAGTATTTTTATACTTATTTCCGGTGATGTTGGTGTGGTTTTTGGCGGTTCTCTATTTTCGCATAAGTTCAAGATGCTACCTAAAGTCAATGCATATAATCTTGTTGGAGTAAAATACGTACAAGAGATTGTTGGAGTAAATGGTTTGCTATCAGTAGAAAAAGACAAAAAGATAAGATAGCTCTTGCAAAATTGGAAGATAATATTGAGCTGTAGATGGAATGGATCCACTTAGCTGGAAACTACAAGCTTCAACATTACTCTATCGACGAGATTGAGTAATGTGGCTGCTGGTTGAAATTTAGGCGTTAGAATTTCTGATTATTTAGGCGTTAAAGATAGAGTACTGAAAAGGGTTTTTGATTATTTAATATATATGAATAAAAATAAATTTTTTATATATATTCTTAACGGGTTAACGGATTATCCGTTAAGAAAATTCAATAATCCCCCAAACCGATAAGTCGTTAATAAAAAAAATTCAATTCATTCCCTGTCCGTTAAATCATTAACCCGATACCAATAAACCATTAAGCTTAGATTTTTTCAATTTCGGTTCGATTTTGAGCACCTCTAAAGTAAACCGGAAAGAGAGTAATGTTTCTTTAGTACTTGTTAAAGAACGAGGTACAAGAGGAACAAAAACGAAACCTGAGAAGTAAATTGATCGTTTTAGGACTAGATGGCACATTTCGAAATAGTTCAAAGGACTTGCAGTGCAATCTGCAATATCATTCCTTTCGGAACTGACCAAGCGAGCCAAAGCAATTAATCAAATCCCCGCCCCACGCTTTCCTGGAACACTCTTTTTTTTTTCCTTCTGCGTACTGAAAAAAAACGATAGCCACACGCAATCTCAAGATTCATCAAAATAGTTTGAAAAATAGCAAACAAAGAGTTTCCTGTTTTTGATTCTGCCCTCATTGAATTTGCCTCACTAAAGTTCTTTACTACATATTTTATGTGCTTATACACAGTAAGACTCAACTCCTTGAACTCATGTTAATTTTGTATACACTGTTTCATTTTCTGTTTTCTGAATTGTGAAACTCTTAATATTGATAAGCCATTTTCAGTAAGCTCATAGCTTGAAACATTGTTGTTCAGTAAAGAGGCTGTGTGAATAAAATTTGTATTCTATCTTTCTCCGATTTTGATTGACCTAATTTTGATTTTATCTGCTCAAAGTTTATGAACTATCCTAAACTGACATGTTTTTTCCCCTTAAACAAGTTGGCGTAATGTAAAGAAATAGGAGTACTATATTGTGTCATTTTTAAAATTTGATGACCACTTCTCAACCAGCTTTCTATTTTTCACATTTTAAACTCTTTCATACGAAATTCAATAAATACATAGCTACAAAACTTATGTGTAGCTACAAGAATATAAAAAGAAAAAAATCAATGACATCTTAGTTTTAAATTATGATAAGAAATGGACCTTGAGCTGGAATCAATCCCGAAGCTAGCTTTGGGGTTGAGTTAGCCCAAGGTCTATTTCTTCACATGGTATTAGAGCCAGACCTACCCCAATTCTTGGTTTACCCGATGTTGGGCTGCCATCTTATATTGTCCACGCTCCAGATGCCCATTCCTGGGCATGTGTGGGAGGGATTATCTGCCTCCTTATATAGTCTTGAACAGAGTTAGCCTTTGAGATTGAGTTTGACCCAAGCTCCATTTCTTCATAAATTCCCTGGAAATCAACCTAGGTCAATTAGAATGGGATTGGATGCAGGCTTTTTTTTAAAATCTTTTCGTAATTCTTTACCATGGATTTTAGCTAGTGAAGTTGGTCTCCTCATGAATTATTAAATATTGATACTTATGCATTTAGTGATGAAAAGTGTTAATCCTCTTTTATGCTTAACCAGGCTTTGAATGTTTGGGAACTGGTTTGTAGCTTGAAGCTTTTAGGGGGACTAAGAGTAGGCTCTTGGTCCCCTGCAATTATGTTGAATATCAAGTGAAGACTCATAATATGGAGATAACGCATGCTAAGCTTCATAGCCCCTTTCTTGGGCTTCCGCTTCAATGCAACCTTAACAGAAGGAAAAGCGGAAATTTNAAGCGGAAATTATATTAGTGGAGTAAGATCATCAAGAAGAGGTGTTTACAACTGTAGATGTTCAAAGAAAGGAGACTGGATAACTCAAGGGGTCAAATTTACACATTCTTGTGGCAGAAACGTGGAGCTATTATGGAAGAGTTTTGCACTGAGAAGTGGCTCATTAATGTGCTCCGTGAGAGAGCCATTAGCTCGAAGTAAAGGCTTGGTGAAGTCACTAGTTCCAGTTTGGGAAGAAGGGTTATTCTTTGTCCGATGTTCAATCTTTGGTGCTGTAATATCTGGGGTGTGCTTACTTCTATGGTATGGCCAGTTGAAAGCAAAGAGTTACATTGAAGCAAAGCTTTTGCCTTCTGTTTGTGCATTATTGAGTGAATATGTTCAGCGTGAACTTGATTTTGGTAGGGTCCGAAGAATATCACCTTTAAGTATTACATTAGAGTCATGCTCTTTTGGTTCTCATAGTGAAGAGTTCTCCTGTGGTGAATTACCAACTGTTAAGCTGCGAATTCGTCCTTTTTCGAGTCTGAGTAGGGGAAAGATTGTGGTTGATGCGGTCTTGTCAAATCCAAGTATTCTGGTAGTGCAAAAGCAAAACTATACATGGCTTGGACTGCCCTTTTCTGAAGGCAGTCCGCTAAGCCGTTTGTCAGATGAGGAAGGTATTGATTTGCGGACAAAAATTAGGAGGATTGCCAGAGAGGAAGCAGCTACTCGTTGGGCCAGGGAGAGAGATGTTGCAGCAAGGGAAGCAGCTGAGAAGGGTTATCTTCTTCCTGAAGGAAATTCTTTTCTATTAGATGATGACTTCTCAAAGAACGCTGCAACTACTCTTGCGAGGATAGTAACTTCAGAGTCCTTCTTTTGTATGGATGAGAAACTGCACTGGAGAGATCAGCATCACATGGATGCAGGAGGGGAGTATGATTTGAAGCACGCAGATTTAGAGAAAACATTTGGTGCAAAAGTTCCACCTTCTGGGACTAGGTTTTGGTCTAAAATCATACCAGAAGCGCTAAGACAACGATTCAAGAAGGCTAATGGGAGAGATTTATCTGCAGCTGGTATCGCAGCTAGAAGAAGAATTCTTGAGCGTAGTGCATCAGCAGCCTGTTTGTATTTCAAGGGCCCATCAAATGCAAATCTTGGTGTCAGTTGTCTGCCATCTGAGGCTTATGATGTTGCAAATCCTGCAATTTTTCCTGTCAAAAGCGAGGGTGATACCTCACCCTCTGTTTCTTCACCAACAATATCTGAAGAAGTTGTAAACCCTGTAGATAATTCTGAGGGGAACTTATTTACCAGCAATGCCAAACGTAACGTGTTCGATTGTGGTTCTTCAAGTGAAGGAATTTCTGACAAAGTAGAAACATGCCAGCTTGATATGTGTCAAAAAATGTTGGGAACATATCCTTTGCCTGTAGAGAAATGCGGTAGTGATTGCATTGATGGTTTAGCTGTTCTACGTGATCCATTTCTTTTTACTTTGGTTAGACTTTGTAAAGCTTTAAGTCTCAGTGAAAAATTATCCTCCGCCAACATGGGGGATAGAACAGCTGACAGGCATGGAGAAAGTAGTGAAGAAATTGCAGCTGATATCATAAATAGGGGTGCCAATAGCAGAGATGATTCACATCGATTTGAGGAGCAGGTACAACAGTCTTATTGGGGGATTTCAGATATTCGACACGGCAATGCCTCTAGTGGTTCTGGATTTACTTTGCTTGAGCCATTACCTCTGCAGCATCCATCAAAAACTCTACAGTCCTGGAGCCCAAAGTCAGCTTTGTATTCTTTTGTGAAGAATCTAGGTCAGCTCGGGGCTAATTCAATTGTAAAGCCTATGGAAAGGCTGAAGTTTGAGATGAGTCCAAGAGTGGAGGATATTGTTGCTGAACTTGTTGATGGTGATGACGGAAAACATGTCTCTAGTGTTGAAAAGATGGTTCCAGTAATTCTGGATTCTGTACATTTCAGTGGGGGCTCATTGATGCTGCTTGCCTATGGTGATACAGAGCCAAGGTAAGCTTCAAAACAGCTAAAACTCCTGGTTAAAGGTTTTGAATCCTGCCCAAAACAATAATTCTTGTGAAAACTCCTTTTAATTTTGAAATTCTTCCTTTTAATATTTTCCGTCCTACTCTTACCAATCAAAAAAATAGTTTCCGTCCTACTCGCTCTCTCTTTCTCTCTCTCTCGTGCTCCACCCAGTATAGTTGGTTTGATAGGGATTTTAACATCCTCATCTGTTTTGATTTGTCATGGACAGCGTTTCTTTTGTTGTTAATGGGAATATTAAATATCTATTTTCTTACCTGTTTTTTTTTTTTTTTTTTTTGAGTGGCTAGCTTAGTGATAAATTCCAATTGGTCTTGTTGAATGCTGTGGTGATGGGAGATACATTCTTGATGTGTGCATGCTCTGCTACTGGAGTTATTAATTTTTTGTTTGTTGAGAATGATCTGCTACTGGAGTTATCTTAATGGCAATCTTTTTTCTCGTTCTTAGGTTTATTTCATGCTGGTCTATGCATTCAGTATTATCTTTGTCTGTGTTTATAGAGAGATGGAAAATGTCACGGGGCATGTCAAGTTTCAAAACCACTATGGACGGGTGCACGTACAACTAAATGGTAATTGTAAGATGTGGCGTTCGGACATCAGATCTGACAATGGTGGTTGGTTATCAACAGATGTTTATGTTGATATGACTGAGCAGAAATGGCATGCAAATTTGAAGATTGTGAACCTCTTTGTTCCGGTAAGGTGCACTGCCATGTTACTTGATTTGTAAAATTTGAAGACCCTAGTCCACAGGAGGCTGCTGCAATAATGCTTGTTTTCTTACTATTTTATGTGTCATGTATTGTTCGTTATCTCGGATGCAGCTTTTCGAGAGAATTTTGGAAATTCCAATCACATGGTCCAAAGGAAGAGCTAGTGGCGAGGTATTCCCTAACTCTGAATGTGTCCTGTAAACATTTTTCAGTTTGTTAACACATTATGTCATCTCAATTGCAAGATGAGTTGATTATGTTAGTTTAGTTGGTTAGATTGGAAGTCCCATGTCCAGAAAAGTAACCCGAATGAGGATGTTGAGATGGATGAGTGAACATACCAGGAATGACAGGATTAGGAATGAAATTACTAGGGACAAGGTAGTAGTGGTATCTGTGGAGGACAAGTTGCTGGGAATCGAGGCTGAGATGGTTAGGGCATGTGAAGAGGAGAGACATAGATGCTCCGGTCAGGAGGTGTGAGAGCTTTTCCATAGCGGGTTTGAGGAAGGGAAGGGGTAGGCCTAAGAAGTATTGGAGAAAGGTAGTTAGGCAAGACATGTCATTGCTCCAGCTTACCGAGGATATGACCCACGATAAAAAGGTGTGGAGGTCGAGGATTAAGGTTGTAGGTTGACAGATAGTAGTGTGTTCCTCCTAGGCTTACCAGTAGAGCTAGGACTATTTTGTATTATCTTATTCATGGTTCTTTATTATTATTTCATGTGTCATTCTCGCCGTTACCATAATACATTGTTGTTACTATTGCTTGCTACTTGTTGCTTTATCTCCACTGTTCCTTGAGCCAAGGGTCTATCGGAAACAACCTCTCTATCTCTATAAGGTAGGGGTAAGATCTGCCTACACACTACCCTGCCCAGGTCTCATTTATGGGAATACACTGGGTTTGTTGTTGTTGTTGTTGTAGTTGGTTAGATTGGAACTAATCACATCAATGACGTGTTTAAATATGTGTTGCTGTACCATTGAAAGAATGAATTGTGTATACTGTTTAAAGTATCTATAAAAGCACATAGATGTAAGACATTTGTTTTGATGCTCTTCCAACCTCTTCTCTCATGTCACAGTAAATGTAGTAAAAAGGGTCCAGTAATGAACGTCGGAGATTAGTTAACACTATCCTAACGCACAATCCTTTTGCCCTTGACCATTGTGATAGGAGTGAAACTTTTTTTGTGCTAAACTAAAGCTGGATCCATAGTTCACGTATCCCATAAAACTAAAGCTGGATGCATACTGTTGTCCTGAATTCCTCGTGTTATCATTCATAAAGCTAAATTCTGACTGTGTGTATCAGGGTTGCTTTTGGTGATTTCTTTTATCAGATCCAAATATTTGTGTGTGCGCTTATTTGTAATATGTATATTTCCTTTTGTATGTTATCCTTGGATATGGTTGACATTATCCTCTGTGGAAGATCGTATATGTTGACTAATTTTATGGCTGATCAATTACTTTGATTTTGAGTTTGCTATCATTTGTTGATAGGTGCACATGTGCATGGATAAGGGGGAAAGTTTTCCAAATCTTCATGGGCAGCTTGATGTCACAGGGTTGGCATTTCAAATATATGATGCTCCTTCTGGGTTTTGGGTAAGCTATCTTTCGGCATTGGAGTCGGGAACCAAACAGTTTTTTATGATCTCTTTAACAGTTCATATATTTATTTGTCTATTACTTGTATTGAGTTGTCTGCTATTAAACTTACAAGTAGTGGAAGTACTTTTAGTTATTTGCTTCTCTTAACTTGTGAATTGTGTAGACATTTTTGTTCTTGAGTAGCTTTATAGAAATGGCGATTTTTTCATAGTCCTACATGCTCTAAGACATAAGCGTGGTTAAGTGTGTTGACGGCCCATCTGAAAAGTATGATGGTTGATGCCCTTATGCATTTTCATCTCTTTCCTTCTCTTATGTAGGACATGTCTGCCAGTTTATGTTTTCGCGCTCAACGTATATTCTTGCATAATACTAGTGGTTGGTTTGGTGATGTTCCTTTAGAAGCTTCTGGAGATTTTGGCATCAATCCAGAGGAAGGAGAATTCCATCTCATGTGTCAGGTATACTATATGAAGTAAATAGCTACTAGTTATACAACATTCTTGGGCTGCAGTCCGCTGCTATCCACATTGGGTTATGTATTCATAGTAACTTGAATGGTTGCATCCTATTTGCGTAAGTGGTAGCAGAAACGAATTTGAACTCAAATCAAGATGTAGAAATCATTTAATTAGAATTCTTTTGATCTTTGTCAACATTGCTTAACATAATTTAAGTTGCCATATGAAATTTAAAGTAGATTTATTAATTTCTACTAGAAATCATTTGATCTTTGATCACCATTGCTTAACATATTTAAATTTGCCTCATGAAATCTTCGAAGTAGCTTATTTTATGTATCAATACATTACAGCAGAAGATATTCTTTTCCTAGCAGTCATGTGACACTCTTAAATGTTGTTTGTCTTAGTTTTAGAAGCACTACCAATAAGTGTTTGAAACAGTTGTGATGGGAATGTGGAAGGTGGTATTGCCTGTCTGGTGGTCTTTCTCTTCTCTTCTGCCAAATAAATTTCTCATTCATATAATTCTGATTTGGTATGGACACTTTTTTCAGGTTCCATCTGTTGAAGTGAATGCCTTAATGAAAACATTCAAGATGAAGCCTCTATTGTTTCCGGTTTGTTTCTATTCACCTTCCCTTGGCTACATATTTTCATCTATCTTGAGCCCTGCAACTCTAGGTTTATTTTTGCCTCCAATTAAAAAAGGGCAGCCCACCGGCATTAAGCTCCCGCTATGCGCGGGGTCCGGGGAATAGCCGGACCGGACCACAAGGATCTATTGTACGCATAAATTTACATTTTATAGCGTTGGGCTAGTAACCCTCGTATCTTGGTTGCATAGGTATAAATTATGATCCCCTTCCTGTTCCAAACTTCATTATCTGAACAAGAGATTGATCTTCTTTTGCCTCTCATCCAAATAAATATCTACTCTAGTAGCTAGCAGCAAATAAAGTAAATTTCACAGCTTTTCCCTAAGTTATGAATACCCAAAAAAAAAAAAAAATGAATGCATACTCTTTGTTCTTTGCAAACAAAGAGTAACATGTAGCTCCACATTTATATCTTTTGTTTAAATAAACTGTAGTTTTAGCCATTTCTGATGGCTATATTTATCAAAATTATTGCCTTAAAAAGAACCATTTATGTCCCCTCTATATAAGTATCTCAAGTGTTTTGAATAAGGCAGTAAGTCATCTTGGGGCTCGGGTGTTATAAAGATCCAAAGTGCTTTGACAAAGATGTTCTGTCTTTGTTGATAGTATATTTGGTAATAATCTGAAAAACTATCATCTGTCAGGGATGTGCTTTTAGTGTTGCAGACTTAACTGAAAAATGTGCTATAGAGTAGCTTTAAGCTTAATGTGCCATGGCAGAAGGAATCTAATGATAGACCTTTCTATATCAGAATGTTTCTCCTATTCCAAGGAATTTTAACAGGGTGTGAAATTGTATTGAGGGAAAGAATTATTTTAAGTTACTGGTTGGATTTCATAGTATGCGCTTCGTTTAGACAGGTGCAACACTTCGTTGTGTTTTATTTAATGAAATGTTACTTTTTTATCAAAAGACAATTTTGACTGAACCTCTGCTCTACTTTGATGAAGAGCAAGAGTAAGAGGTACTTCAAATGATGAAAAATAACTAGTCTCCTGCCCTCTTGCTGAAACACACTAACTCTTTTGCATCCCAAGTCAGTGAAAACTGAGAATTAATGGGAAAATTTCCTTCAGGCTTCAGCTTCATTATTTATGACTTGATTCCTGGTTTCTTTTTCCAAATAATGTGCTTCATTATTCTGTTACAAGGACTGTAAACATTCTTACAGGTCCTTTCCTATTTTAATGAAAGGCATTGCACAACCATTTGTGATCAAATTTTGAAATGTGTTCTAGATCTCTGTGATTTCTTGTATCTTTTAAGAGGGCGCTGTGATCGGGCTGCTCTTGGCCTCTTTCTCCTTATTGATGTCAAAATCCTTTGATGATTTACTCAGTTAGCTGGTTCAGTTACAGCTGTATTCAACTGTCAAGGCCCCTTGGACATTCCCATATTCGTGGGGAGTGCATTGGTGTCAAGGAAGATAGCCAATTTGGCCAATGAATTTCCTAAATCTGCCGCATATGAAGCTGTGATCAGTAATAAGGAGGCTGGTGCAGTGGCAGCAATTGATCGTGTTCCATTCTCCTACATTTCAGCCAACTTTACTTTCAACACGGACAACTGTGTAAGCAAAATCAGCTATAAATATTTCAATTTTTTCGTAACACTTCTGTACTATGGAATTCATCATGTCTGGGACAGGTGGCTGACTTGTACGGCATTAGAGCTAGCCTAACTGATGGCGGTGAAATTCGTGGTGCAGGAAATGCATGGATATGCCCTGAGGTACTTGTTTATATCTGAGACAATTCACTTTGGCTTGAAAATCAAGTAAATATGGCTATGTTCTGTAACCAAAAGTTCAAAAATATTCTCAAGTCACTAGATAAAATATACACGATAATAAGTGTCCAAAGGAGAGAGTTGTTTGTCTCCAGAATATTTCAATTTTTTAGGGTGCAAATATTAAACCAGAAAAATTAGCCTGAACTTGCTGCACGTAACTTTGGCTAGCTACAGATGAATATCTAAGGGCTGTCCGCATTTATCAGTTCTACAATTTTTGATCCTATAAGTACCTGGTTATGCAGGTTTTGGTGTTGATAGAAATGTGCGATAGCTTTATGGTCAAGGAGGTGCTACAAGGTTTTTTTGATTCTACCCCTTGATAACCAATCCTTGCTCCAAAATAGGTGTATACTTCCCTTAAATTTGTGTTGCTTGGATGTCTATATAGAAAAATCTATTAAGAAAAAAAATATATATATGGAAAACTTTTGGTTAGCGACATAATTTATGGGACATTTATGTAGGATTCAAGTGTGGATGTAGTTGTTAGGAAGAACTCCGTTNGCCGGAGGGAGCTTGCTTATAGAAAGAAGATAGGCCGGTCAAAGAAAAACAAGGTGCAACGGGCTCTCCGCTCCTAGTCACTAAGAAGTGCTATTCTGTCCTCCGGGGGACTGGACTCCACCAAGAGGTTCTTTCTCTCACGTAATTTCGCCCGCCCCTTTCATTTCCGTACCGGAGGAAATGGGATTCGAATCCATGATACAATCTTCTTGTATGTCTATTTAGCAAACCAATGCCTTAAGCCACTCAGCCATACCTCCAAGTTGTTGATCGGACTAGAATTGGATGTGCTGGTTTGGTTGCTTGCCCGAAGAAAGGGCCATCTGATCATTGTCCCATATTGATTGAGAGAATGAACTGTTGTTTTTTTATATAGTCTTGGCGTTCCTCGTTTCATGGGCTAGCTCTTGGGATTGAGCAAGCCTAANTGTTATATTGTTTACGCTCCAGACATCCAGCCTTGGCCTGCCGGGGATGGGATGTTAGATTCTCCCATATTGGTTGAGGAAGTAGGTTGTTGTCTTCTTATATAGTCTAGGCAATCCTCATGCTCATGAGCTACCATGGTTGAGTTAAGTCCAAGTTCCATTTTCTTTACAATTTTCTTGTCAGTAATAGGTGCCTCCTTAAAAGTGTAAAGAAAATGATAATACTAGTGGATGCAATCCCAAGGTTTTCAGCCTCTTAACTCTTCTGTTATCGTGTTTTATCTGCCCCTTCCACTCATCTGATCTCTCTCTCTTTTTACTTTATGATCCTATTTTGTTAAAGTATATGACCTCTTTGAATGGCAGCATCCTCCAACTTCAAACATCGAATTAATGATAAGGACCTAACTTATATTATATTTGTATTTGACGTGAAATTTGTACCCGTTCATTAATCATGATCAGTAGAATTTATATCTTTTATGTTTGTTAACCGTTATATTAACATATATCTACCTAGTAACTCATCAAAATCTTTTCCTCTTGAACTCCAGATAGTCAAATTAGGTCACACTTAATGTGATGTATGGAGTATCACATAATTACCTCTTGTTAGGTCTTACACATTTACCTATCATGTACTGGCAGCTTTTAAGCTCTGCATATTTTCTGATGGCCTGAGATTTACCTTTTCTTTTAGAAGGTAATATATTGTATATTAATAGAAAGACTACACCAAAACTGTGGAGTCACCCACAATTACATAGGAGAGGGAAAAAAACTCCTAATCCTTGGTCTTCTCGCAAGGAATCTAAAACATCAAAAATAGACTCGTGTTCTTCTAAAAGTTTTCATTTACACCAAAAGTAAAACAACAGTAGACACTTCATTTTTATCATCTGGACATGATTATACTTGTCTTCAAAACATCTCTGCTTTCTCTCTTCCCAAATTGTCCACCAGATGCAAACAGGGACAATCCTCCATCTCTCCTTCTGATTGGACAAAGTACCATCTCTATTCCAGCATGCAAGAACTTTTTTTTGATGAAGTAATGATAGATTTCATTCTGGCATCAAGAAGATGTATAATAATACAAAAGTTATGGAAGCAAAAAAGACTTTGTTAGCTCAATTACAAAAAGACTATTCTAGTATAATGGAGCTAACGAAGTTCAAAAAGTTGTCAGGAGAATCTAAGGGGGAAAGGTAATGCCAACTATAAAGATACAAAAGACTTCTAGCCTTGAGGGAATGATTTGGAGTTGATAAACCTTCAAAACATCTGTTGTTCTTTTCTGACCATATACACCAAAAAATACTCGCAGGAATCATCTTCCAGATTGGCCTGATGGCCTTACCAACTCTGAAATTCTTCCAGCTTGCAAGAACTTCAAGAATTCTTCTTGGCATAGTCCACATAATACCCCTTACGTTGATAAAAATTCTCCATAGTTGAGCAGTCAACCTGCAGTGTAAAAAGAGATGACTAATTATATCTGTCTCCTCTCCACACAAGTAGCATTTAGAGCATAATTGATATCCTCTCTTGACTAGGTTGTCATGTGTTAACACTGCCTCCTTTGCCAACAACCAAGTAAGGCAAACAACTTTATAAGGAATTTTAACTTTCCAAATCAGTTTCCATTGCCAACAACCAACCTGATTCATGGAAAGGTTGAATTCCTTATAAGCTGATCTAACAGAGAACTTCCCAATTTTATTTTCTTGCCAATTCAAACAATCTTCAGAGTTTGAAATACCTTTGAACTGTTCTATAACATTATACAACTCTGTTGGTCTACCAACCTCCCAGTCATTTAATAATCTTCTGTAAGTAAGATTCCACCCTTGTATATTCCATACCTCTCCTATTGTTGCTTCTTGTTGCTGATTGAGGATGTAGATGTCAGGAAACATTTGACTCAAAGATCCTTGCCCGAACCAGTTATCCTTCCAAAATGATATCTTTATGCCATTTCCTACACTGAAACTTGTTTTGTTCATGAATTTAGGCCATAGATTCCTGATGGATTTCCATAGACTAACCCCATAAGGCCCATTCACTGATTTGGTTGTCCATTTACCATTCATACCATACTTTTCCCTAATCACCTCTTTCCATAAGGATTGTTCTTCTCCAGCAAATCTCCATAACCACTTCATCATCAAGCTTTGAGTCTGAGTTCTGAAATTCTTTATTCCCAACCCCCATCCTTCTTGTTAGGGCTGGGCATATATCGGGTATAACCGATAAACCGAACCGATAAAATGCTATTGGGTTATCGGTATCGGGTTATTGGGTAAATAGTTCGATAACGGTTTAATATTATTTGATTAATAGGTTATCGGTCCGGGTCTCGGTTTGCCCAATTTTATTAACGGTTTAACCGATAGCCCAATAAGCTTTATCAAAATTATAATTTTACCCACTAAGTATATAAAACCACTTTATGGCTTCATTCTCTCAATTCTCTCGGTAGTTACTCTTCATCTTCTGACCTTAATCCTTAGAGTAAGTTTTAAACTTTTCTGAATTTCTCATTTTAATTTTTCAATTAAGTTTTAGTTTTAAACTTTAGAGAATTAATTGTTCAGATTTTTAGTTTTTCTATTTGTTTCTTTTGTTGCACTGATTCTTTAGTATTTACAAGATTAGGATTTTATTATTTTTCTATGAATTATGCCCGCCCGCAATGAGATAGTTAGTAAGATTAGATTGTTGAATGTCTTATCCCTTACTCCTATTAACTTATAGTTTTGAAAATTGAGATCATTCATTGGGATTTTCAAATACAAAGAAAGTTTTATTTTCTAAGTTGAAATTGAATCTCTCTTCTCTTAAGAGCAAAAATTCAATTCCTTTCTCTTAATAGTATGGTCACGATTTCTATAATAAATTTTTGGATAGTTTTTATTCTTATCGGGTAAACCGATAATCGAACCGATAAGGATTTAACCGACTAACCGATACCCAATAAACGATATCTTATCGGTTCGATTATCGGTTTAGTATATTTATAAACCGATAACCTATAATATTCACAACCGAACCGAACCGACCGATGTCCACCCCTACTTCTTGTTGATAGTAAGAGAGTTCCATTTGACTAAATGTATTTTCTTCTTATCACAGTTCCCTTCCCACAAGAAGTTCCTTCTTAAAGCATATATACTCTTCACTACATTCACAGGAATTGGAAACAAGGACATCATGTAAGTAGGCATAGCATCCAATACATAGTTAATCAGAGTTAATCTACCCCTCATTGATAGGTACTGACTCTTCCAGTTAGTCAACTACTTCTCGCATTTCTCTATGACACCATTCCACATCCCTTTTGATTTGCTCTTTGCCCCCAATGACATTACCAGATAGACAGTAGGCAGCTCCCCTATTTTACCTCCAAGAATTCTAGATACATCTCACTTACATTATTAACTGGATACATAAAACTTTTGTTCCAGTTAATATGTAAACCAGATGTAGCTTCAAACAAGAAAAAAAAAATTGTCCTTAACACTTTCAATTGCTCACTGTCAGCCTCACAAAATACAATAGTGTCATCAACATATTGTAGATGGGATATCGCCAAATTGCTGTCTGCCCTAGCATTTACCTTAAAACTCCTTATCCTATTGTTTAATTGGGCAGTTTTCAACATATCATTCAATCCTTCCATAGCAATTATAAAGAGAAAAGGAGATAAAGGATCTCCCTGCCTCAAACCCTCTGAGAAGGGAAGAAACCAACTGGTGAACCATTAACCAGAATTGAAAACTTTACTGTACTGATGCAAAATTTTATCCAGTTAATCCATCTATCCTCAAAGCCCCCATTTTGGTCAGAGTTTCCAGCAGAAAGTTCCAATTTAAGTGATCGTATGCCTTCTCTATGTCCAATTTGCCTGAGATTTACTTGTGGTAGAGAGAAGCTTGGTTGGGAATTTGGGTCCCGAACCCTTCTTTATGAAAGATACTTCAGTACCAGGTGGGAAATCAATCCTAGAGGGTTTCAGAAAGGATCCCTTTCTCATGTTATGGTCCGGCTATCCCAATTCCTTTGCTATTAAAAGACACTGCAGTTTCTACAAAGAGAAGAATGCAATGTAAATAATCAATGTGGTTTTTAGATGCCAAAACCTTTCTCCCTCTTGAGGATATGGAGGAGTCACTTAACGTTCTAGGTTGAAAGCACATGTCGAGACCTTTAGAGTTAAAACAAGTAACTTGAGATACGTTTCGTGACAAACTATGACCATGCTCATGATAGGTTCAGACCTCCAATGATGAATGAGCTAATCACACTATCCGTAGGTAGTTTGAGTGAGAAGAAAGAACAAGGAAAATGGTAGGATGTTTGGATCAGAAGAATAGAGGGTTGGTTTCCCTAAGGCAACCCTTTTTGATAAAGGCAAAAAGTTTATCAAAAAGGTTTTTTTATATTAAGGAGGGAACAACCCTTATGAAAGGTGTAAACAATCATAGAGAATCTTGCTAGATGGATGCAGAGGGAGGGGGTGCGTGCTCCTTTCTGATTCGAGAACATGTGGTTGAAAGTGCCAGGATTTGGTGACAAAGTGAAAGAATGGTGGACAAGCTACGGGGTATTAGGGAGACCTTCATTCCGTCTTTCGAAGAAACTTAAATTGCTCAATGAAGATATTATTAGGTGGAATAAGGAGGTTTTTTGGGAGGGTAGAGGTTAAAATGAGGAAGCTTATGCATGAATTGGGGGAATTAGAGAGAGGGGAAGGGGCGAGGGAGCTAGATGAATCTGAGAAAGCGAGATTGGGGGAGGTTAAGAGGGAAATANGAGGTCAAAATGAGGGAGCTTATGCATGAATTGGGGGAATTAGAGAGAGGGGAAGGGGCGAGGGAGCTAGATGAATCTGAGAAAGCGAGATTGGGGGAGGTTAAGAGGGAAATAGTCGAGTTAGCAATAGCTCAAGAGACTAGTTGGCGGCAAAAATCGAGGGCACTCTGGTTAAAGGAGGAGGATTCAAATACCAAGTTTTTCCACAGGGTTGTGGTTGCAAATCAAAGGAGAAACTTCATAGAGTCCTTAGTTGTGGATGGAGTGAGGATTGAGGGAGAGGAGTAGGTAAAAGGGTCGATAGTGAGGTTTTATAAGAACTTATACAAAGAGGAAGTTAGTTGGAGCCCTACTTTGGGGGGAATAGAGTTCAACCACATAGGGGAGAGAGACAGTGAGTGGCTAGAGAGGCTTTTGAGGAGGAGGAGGTGTACGAGGCTGTGTCGAGTTGTGCTGGTGATAAGGGCCCCAGGCCTGATGGTTTCTCCTTGGCCTTATTCCAGCTCTGTTGGGACACCATTAAGGGGGAGTTGATGGAAGTCATTGAATACTTCCATGTGAACGGTGTTTTCGAGAGAAGTATCAATGCTTCTTTTATTACTATTGTTCCTAAGAAAGAAGGTGTATCTTAGTATCAGAGACTACAGGCCTATTAGTCTCGTGGGGAGCATTTACAAGATTATTTCTAACGTGCTCTCCAATAGACTCAAAAAGGTTCTTGACGTGCCTGTTTCGTCATCCCGGAATGCGTTTGTGGAAGGTAGGCAGATCCTGGACGCTGCTTTGGTGGCAAATGAACTTGTAGACTCCAGAAGGAAAAATAGAGAACCCGACTTACTATGCAAGTTGGACCTTGAGAAGGCTTTTGACCCTGTCAATTGGGAGTTCTTGGATTTCATTATTATGCGGATGGGGTTTGGGGTAAGATGGAGGGGATGGATCAAGTTCTGCATTTCCTCAGTCAGATTCTCTGTCCTGGTTAATGGTAGCCCGTATGGTTTCTTTGGCAACTCCAGGGGTCTCAGGCAAAGTGACCCCCTATCCCCATGCTATTCATTCTAGTGATGGATGCTCTGAGTAAAATGATGGATCGTGTGGCGGGTGGAGGCTTCTTGAGAGAATTCTCAGCTCCGATCGGGGTGCTTAGTGCCCGAAGAGTCTCTCATTTGTTTTTTACGGATGACACCCTGGTTTTCTGTGATGCCGATATGGATCAGTTGACCTACCTGAAGCAGGTCCTGCAGTGATTTCAGATAGTATCAGGACTCAAAATTAACCTCGGCAAGTGTGAGATTTTTCTGGTGGGTGAGGTTGCTAACATTGGTGCTTTGTCTTATGTTCTCAGATGTATGGTGGGCTCTCTTCCCACTACTTACCTGGGTCTCCCAGTGAGCGCTTCGCATAAGGATACTACAGTTTGGAATCCAGTGATCGAAATGGTTGAAAAAAGATTAGCAGGCTGGTAGAAACGATACTTGTCAAAAGGCGGTAAGGAAGTGCTTATTAAAAGCACTTTATCGAGTATACCCACCTATTACTTGTCCCTGTTGCAAGCTCCTGTGAGCATCATAGAAAAACTGGAGCGGTTTCAAATGAATTTTTTTTGGGATGCGGGGATGGAACTAGAAAGTTTCATCTAGTGAATTGACAGACAATCATTTCCTCTAAGAAGTGGGGTGGACTTGGAGTAAAAGATCTTAGAGTATTCAACAGAGCTTTGTTGGGGAAGTGACTGTGGAGATTCGGGGTAGAAGAGCATGCTCTATGGAGGGAGGTCACAGTAGAAAAGTACGATTCCACGGGAGGGGGTTGGAGGACCAAAGCAATCACAACACCTTTCGGGTGTGGCATTTGGAGGAGCATCATGAAGAATTGGAAGCCTTCAATGGCAACATCACTTACAGGGTGGGAGATGGAAGAAGAATCAGCTTTTGGAATCACAGGTGGTGTCGAGAGGATATTCTGAGGGTCTCTTTCCCCACGCCTTCAGAGTTTCAAATCAGAAGGAATTGATGGTCCAACAGATTCGCAAGGAGCATGGGTGGGGGATAGTATGAGACCTCTCATTTAGAAGGAACATGCAAGATTGGGAGATTGCAGAGCTCCAAGATTTGTTGGCACTGCTATATGGGCAAGACAGGCCCCAGACATCTTGTGATTCTTGGAGATGGGGGTTGCGTGGCGATGGTTTGTTCACCGTAAAGTCCTTTTACCAGAGTATGTTGGTGAGAGAAGAGGCCACTTTTCCATACTCCTCGATCTGGATTCCTAAGACGCCCTCGAAGGTGTGCTGTTTTGCCTGGCTAGCGGCAAGGGGAGTGATCTTGACTGCTGCAAATCTGTGAAAGAGAGGAATTACACTTATTAGTTGGTGCTACATGTGTAAAAGCTCAGGGAAAGAAGTTGATCATCTTTTGTTGCATTGCCCTGTGTCCTCGGGTTTGTGGAAGGCAATCCTGAATCTTTTTGGTGTTCAATGGGTGATGCCAAGCACTGTAAAGGAAATGTTATATAGCTGGGTCGGTTTCCGTAGAAGAAGAAAGCAAAAGGCGTGGAAGTTCGCCCCGTTAGCTCTCATGTGGATATTTTGGGAGGAGAGAAATAGGAGAGCTTTTGAGGGGATTGAGTCTCCTTTTTCACATCTTAAGAATAGTCTTTTATCTTTGATCGCTTTTTGGTGTACTCATATAGCCCCTGCTTGTATAGAAGATTGGGCGTCTTTTGTAGAGAATCATGTTTTGATGTAAATTCTCTACTTTTTGGTATATTTCTTGTACATGGGAGTTTTTTCTCCCTTTTGATTAATACAATTTACCTAATCAAAAAAACTTTAGAGCAAAATATAAACCAGTCATCTATGCTAAATTAAGTCATCTATGCTAAATTACTGATAGGGAGTGTTCTAACAATCTGCAAGACACAACATGGCCCCACCAGGACAGCTTTTACTTGAGAGGTAATTTTACATTACTTTTTTGCTTTTTAATTAGGATAGGAAAGTGCAAAACGGAGTTACTTCCTGTCAAATTGGTCAAGTAGCTAATCTATGAAGGTCTAAGAAGGAGACAGTGTTGGTTTTGTGATAGCATACAACATTACGGAGTTTTCTAGATAGGACAATAAGAAGAAGTTCCCTCAAAACCCTGACCAAACTAGAATTTATAGTGGTCTGAAGGATAACATTAATTAGATAAAGTAAAATTGAGAACTAGTAGCACATATCTTCTTAAAGCTGGATAATCCATGAAAGACAAGAAATCAATCTTCATACATATCTTGTGTGAGACATAAATATGTGTATGTACGAATCTGTCTTTCTTGGATGATAATTAATTAACCAAGTTATGTTGATAAATAAGAATTATCTAAGTTGAGAGGACACTATTGAGTACAACAACAACAACAACATTCCTAGTGTGATCTCACGAGTGGGGTCTGGGAGAGTGGGGTGCACACAGACCTTTCCCCCTTTTGTGGGGTAGAGAAGTTGTTTCCGATACACTCGCTCAGTAGTCATAAAATTGAAGAGCAAGATAAATATAGTGTAATAACAATAATACTAGTAAGGAGAAGAGGAGCATCTAACATACTAAGGAGAGGAGTCGCTCTAACCTTCTACCCTAAAGGAGAGGAATCACTGGACTTCCTGCTAAGCTTTTACCCTAATCGCTCGACTACTTGCTAACCGTCTACCCTAATCTTCGACCTCAATGCTCTCCTATCTAAAGTCATGTCTTTGGTGAGCCGAAGATGTGCCATGTCCTGTCTAATCACCTCTCCTTAATTCTTCCTCGGTCTACCTCTATCTCTCTATCACTGCCAACCTGTAGCACCTCCTCACTAGAGCATATGTGCCCCTCCTCTTCGCAAAACGCTATTGAGTATTGAGTAATATGTCTACTACTTCTAAGTCAATGTTTGTTGATCAACTCTTTGCAACATCCTCAATTGAATTGAACAAGTTATCTCATCATGGTTGTATTTTAAAAAGTATCTCTTTTTTGCTTGTTGTTCATCTGGCCCAACAAAAAAAGGATCTTTCATCTTTTCACCCCACTTTGTGTTTACACAGGCCAAAACATTTGGTTAACTTTTGAAGAATATAAGTTCAACTAATTTAATATCTGGATAGTTTCCTGATAAATGCACAGGAAGACAAGCTCAAAATAGGGCCTTTTTTTCCTATTCAAATTATACAACACAAAAACATGTTTTTGACTTTTTGCTGACTTTGTGACACCATATTAAATCTTGAGGAACAGTAAATTACCTTAAATGTCCAACTTCTCATATTTGATCATGTCCGTAACCTTGGTGTTGACATTTTCAATTTTGCAGGGAGAGGTTGATGACACGGCTATGGATGTGAACT